ATAAAAAGAGGAATAATATTTTGTGACAGGTAAAAATTACAAGAAATTTAAGTATCACCGTCATAAATATTGGAACACACAATCTTATTTCATTTATGTATGGTCTATGACTGCTTTTGTGTTACAATGGCAGACTTAAGTAGTGGTGACAGAGACCCATTGCCCCAATATTTACTATATGGCCCATTACAGAAAATGTTTGCCAACTCCTGTCTTAGACCATTATCTCCACCTAGCTTAATCGCTCCATCCTGTGATAGAAGAAATTATTGATCTGACTAGAAAGAGGGTAGATAGAATCAGCCACTCACTGTTGCATATTTCTATACTGGGCTGTTCCATGCAGAAGGGAATGGCCCATTCCCTTGGGTTGTGGGTTGTCTAGACTCAAAAGCCACCAGGCACAATGTGGTCTGCCATGCAGAGAAATTGATGAGCGTGCTCAGCAGGTGCAATGCTCCCCTCAAGCATGTCCTCAAATCTGATGTAGTAGATGGGGGAGACTGGCAATCTCTATCTGATTCCTTAGTCCATTTCCCACTTAGTTAGCAATAGGAGGACAAACAAGTCTTATTAATATTACCCTCATGCCCCAATATTAGAAAATAAAAGCCTTTGCCTTAGTGTTTTTTGTTAAAAAAGAAAAGTAGACTTGAAGTCCTAACCTTTGCATCAGATCTGTGATCTCAGGGCAAGCTCCATTACTTCTTGATAAAGTCCTCAATTGACTCTTCTTCAGAAGATGGTGATAGTAATTGCAACCTTATCAAACTTATAATTCTTTTTCCCTCATGGAAACATAATTTTTAGTTATACTATTTTTATTTTATTAGTAATATGTGTTGGGTTCAAGTGGAATGGGGTAGCTTGCAGCATAGCAAGTATAAAATCTGAATAAACATAAAAACTATGTGTTGGAAGGTATTGCAAAGTTGTTAAAACAAAAACTTTTCTCAAAATTCCAGAGATGAGAGAATCTCAGAGAGGTCACCTGACGCCTACAGTCAATTTTAGACTGTCTTCATTTCCAGTTCTGAATGAGAGTAGGAAGCATTACATCATTCTGACTGCCTAGTGGAGGAGAGAAGAACTCTTTCTAGGAGAAGATAAGCTCTCTGAAACACTCCAATTTTTCATATGTAGTATCCCAAACTTACTAGGCATTCCAAAGAGCAACTATGCGGCCAGAAAAACAAGAGTTGGAGGAGACGGTAATAAAATAGACTCAAACTAGGTAACAATTCCCACCTCATTTTATGAGGCCAACTTTACCTTGATATCAGAAATCTGACAAGAAAATTTTGAGAAAGAAAATTGCAGGCCAATCTCTCTTATGACTATAAACATGAAAGTCCAGACCAAATAGCAACTCATATCCAGCTGTGTGCTTATATTTAACATATGTATATTTAGTGGAGAAAAGGAGGCCAAAATATATGACAACATCAATAGATGCAGAAAATCCTCTGACAAAATTGTACACACTTTCATGTCAAAATAAGAGAAGGCAAATTTCCCTAATCTATAAAGAATATCTACCAAAGTGTAAATAATACATGACTATCCGTTGTGCAATGTTAAACCCCCATCACCTCCTGGGGATAGAAAATGAAACAGGGAGGTCCTCTACCACCACTTTTTTGAACACTATCCTAGAAATTCTAGTCAATGCAATGATGCAATGAAGAGAACTTAAAATCTTGAGTACTAGAAAATACAAAGTAAACAAAACTAATGAACAAATGAAACTCATAGATACAGAGGACAGATTGGTCTTTGCCAAAGGGGAGGGATGTGGGTGAAATGGGTGAAAGAGGGACAAACTTCCAGTTATAAAATAAGTCAGGGAGATATAATGCACAGCATGATGACTATAGTCAGTAATATTGTATTGCATATTTGAAAGTTGCTAAGAAAGTATATCTTTAAAGTTCTTGTCACAAGAAAAAACATTTCTGCTAACTTTGTATGGTGACAGATAACTAGACTTATCGTAGTGATCATTTTACTGTGTATACAAATGTTGAATAATCATTTTGTATACCTGAAACTAATACAATGTTGTATGTCATTATACCTCAATAAAAACAGAAACTAAAAAAACATTAACCCATTCAGCAAGATTGTGTACATTGAAACGTTCAATGAATCTACACACAAATTATTAGCAACGATTAGTAAATTTAGTAAGTTTGCTACAAAAAAGGTCATCAAAATAATAAAATTAATTATATTTTCATATACCAAATACAAAGAAATGGAAAAGTTATTTTTAAAATTATACAACTTAGAACAGCATCAAAAATATTAATTCCTGGGCAAAAACTAACCAAAGATGTGCAAGCCATTGCACTGAAAAGAAAACATTATTGAAAAAAACAAAGAAAGCTCAAATAAATTAGAAGCATATGCCATATTCATGAATTCAAAGATTCAACACGTCAATTCTTTTCGAGATACCAGCTCTTTTCAAAATGATCTGTAGATATAATCTCACCCTGACAAAATCCCAAGGGAGTGTTTTGGGATATTAACAAACCAATACTAAAATTTATTTGAAAATGTAAACAGGTAAGAGTAGCCAAAACAATTTTGAAGAAGCAAAAGAAATTCAGAAGACTTAGACTGTCAGCTATCAAGACCTGCTATAAAGCTTTATAACACAAATTGGGTAAGATACAATTCCTTCAAGCTACCAAAAGTATGATTTTTGCATTTCTCTCATCTTGTGTTGATAGAAGAGTGGAACCATGTTGTGAATATGGAAACTTCAGGGGTGCTGAGGTCACTATAAGAGAAACAAATCTTACCTTAGGGATGAGGTAGTTTCTGAACTTAATATCACATGTCACTGCATGAGGAAGGTTGTTGGGGACGAGGTTAATGTATCTCTGTATCTCATGCACCACAGCATCAGTGTAGGGCATGTGGCTCTTGTCCTGCATGCAGGGGCTTCGGTCTCTGCCAATCACACGGTCAATCTCTTCATGGACTTTAGCTGATAAGATATAAGTAAGACTGATGAAAAAGAAGTAAAATGGCACATTTGTCACAACAATTCAAGGTTACATTAAGAATTATAAAGATGTCCCAACATCATTATAAACATAAATTATATGCCCATAACTTAGAGAATTGCTATAATATAGATACATACCACTCTACTACAAGCTAGGCATTCGATATATCTGTCTATACTTATCTATTACCATATAAGATAATTTACACAAATAGAAATGAAACTTTTCAAACTATAAACAGTTACCATATTAACTGAAGAAATCGTTGTTTCTTCACTGCATAGAGGAAAACAAGAATAAATGTAAATTTATGTCAAAAGTAATATTTGATGATTTTGGGGCCAGGCTAGTGGCTCAGCAGTTAAGTTCGCACGTTCTGCTTTGGCAGCGTGAGGTTCGCTGGTTTGGATCCTGGGGGCGGACCTAGGCACTACTTGTCAAGCCCTGCTGTGACAGGCATCCTGCATATAAAATAGAGGAATGTGGGCATGGATGTTAGCTCAGGGCCAGTCTTCCTCAGCAAAATAAGAGAGGTGGATTGGCAGCAGATGTTAGCTCAGGGCTAATCTTCCTCAAAAAAAATAATGATGTTTTAAAAATTAAATTCTACAAGTGGATCTACATGTATGTAAGTCTTTGTGTGTGTGTTTGCACATATGTATATGCAAATTGCGATGGTATCCTCTTCAACCTCCCACTCCCCAGGGCAGCCTCTTTGAATCATTCTTGCTGTTTATTCTGAAATGTATATTTATATTTCTAAATAATGATTCTACTTCTGTTTCTATTTATTCATTTATCCAATTTTAGGCAATATTTAAGGAAGTCCTGGTATGAGTGATGAGAATTTATATCTCTGCTTCCACTCCATTCAAAATACACATGAACAGACACACACACATACACAGGCACTTCCCTTCACTTCACTTTCACCTATATATTTTGATCATAACTTTGATTATATCAATAAGCACTGTTTATACCATTATAACCATAAATATTGTTCACTGGTAGGATAACCATAATTATTTTTAATTTTACATGCTTTAAAACTTATGTTTGAACAATTTATATCAGTTCCTAAATTTCTAGTTGGCAATTCAGAATTACTTCCAAATGTTCAGGTAGATGTTTTAAACTCCTAGTAATAATTTTCAAAATGCTCAAACCTCAGATTATCAATTTCTTCTCTTTATTTTTCTTAACTTCCCTCACACCTTCTTCATCTACTTAGTACAATCCAAACCGGTTGTTTCCCAGGCCTGGGCCCAAGTACCCTCCCTGAAACTTCCATCCCTCTACAGGAGGTCTTCTGATTCCTGGAGCCCATGACCAAGTTTGACTTGGTGTCAAATGTTTGGATGGAGCATATCCTCCAGTATCTTTCTAAGAAGGTGGAAAGAGGAAGTAAAACTGTTGGTAAATATGCACATCTGAAAATATCCTTTTTCTATTAATGCATAAGATGATAGTTGCTCTTGAGAATTCTGATACCCTTCTGATTCCTAATCTCTTATATCTATGACCAGAATTATCTCTGAAAGTTTTATGATTTTAACTTATCCCTGATGTTCTGAAATTTCATGACCCTGTCTCTTGAAGTGCATGCTTTTATTTCATTTACTCTGCTGGACACTTGAAGAGAATGTTCTATCTTGATGGTGGAATATGTAGGTCTTTGATTTAGAAACTCTCTCTTTCCTGTGAGAGGAAAACAGTTACCTGCTCAAATAATTGTAGAGAGAATCTGTACAATTGTACAAACCTGTACAAATTGAGGAGGGAAGCCTCCTGTCTTCTGCCTCATTCTCCCCTAACTTTATTAGACACTTGGTACTTCCAACTAGTGAGAATTGTGGGGATTTTAGGGACACAGGTTAGCTTTTCCATGTTGGTGAATCTTCTTCTGACCTTCAGGCTACAACTTCATCTTCTCTGTTGAGGTAATTATCACCCTCCCTTCTGCTCTCTGTGTTTCAGAAATTTGTTGAAGACATCCTGGGTGCCTCCTATACTTCTCTTCTCCGACTTCAAAGGACTGATTACTTCTCATTTGTAATTAGTTTATGATAATTTCAATGAGACTCTGACACAAGAAAAGATAATGTATGCTTCTATTCTGCTTTGTACATCTGGAACTCTTCTGAGGTAATTTGTAAAGTAAAATTGTTCATAAAAGACAAAATTATTTACCCCCCCCCCCAATTTTTATTTTGGCAAACCCAGTTTCCTGGAAATAGACTTCTGGAATGATAAAATTCTTTTAGGCATGTCTTCTGTCTAAATAGCAACACCTTTCTTATGAATATAACTTTTTAGAATACTTCTCACACTGTAGAAATTTTCCGAGGCTGCCTAATTAAGTTTCTAGAATTTCCACTTATGCTTCTATAAGAAGAGTTTCCATCTTCCCTACCCCAGCACTAGAACACTGTATTTTCAGAATGAGGAAAGATTTCAGCAAGAACCTACCTACTCTTCAAAGTGGTCGTTTCTTAAGGAAATGAATATTCAATCTTAGATCAATTCTTGATGGCTGTTGCCTGACACAAATCACTTCCCAGTGGAATCCAGACACTACACCAAAACTTTATTACTTTCTTACTACCAACACTGTACTTCACTTCTCTCCATCATCAACCCCTGTTGTGCAAGGTTGTCTTAGTATTATCCCTTCATTAAGTTTGGACAAATTATAACTAGTGACACAGAAATTTCAATAATGAAGCTTCTCTAAGAAAAATAAGTTGCAGGAGAGTGACAGTGTCTTGCTAGATTTGTATTCTGAAATTCACCCTTTTCGTCATGTGTAGTCATACCTGTGACCTCTGGATGCTTTAACAGAAGCAGGAGTCCATATCTCAAGGTGGTGCTCGTTGTCTCTGTCCCAGCAGCAAATAAATCAAATGCAGTAGTTACCAAATTTTCAACAGTAAATTCAGAGTATTGGTTGTACTTTTCCTAGGAATGATTTAGAGCAATTATTTGGTAAGTTGGTTTACCAACATATTTGAATGTAATGAATACAAAATAACTTAGACTGTTATAAAGCTAAACCATCCTACAAACTGAATTGTGCAGTATTAGAAAAAGCTACTGCATGCTAAGGCTGACTGCAGAATAGTTGAACCAATCTTCATTTCTTATCCTCTTAAACCTTGCTTGCCTAAAAATTCCATTCACTATCATTTTTTCAGTTAGGTTGGCTTTGCAACATATCTTTTTGTGAATGAGATATAAGCAAAAGCCAGTTAGTGCCACTTATATTTCATTCTTCTTACTCAAAACACAGATGTGAAAGTGGAGGTCAGGCACACATCATCTTGGGACAGCAGTATTCAAGCATGAAGGTGAAGGTCTGTATACAAAATACGGTGAAGGAAAATGGAAGGTGCCTGACCTTGCGATAATTCAGGGCTACTGTACTAACCCTAGAATGGCTCACCAGGAGACTACTTGTATATAACATAAATCAACAAATTATTTGTTTAAAACATTGCTAATTGGATTTTCTCTTATTTGTAAATAAATATAATCTTAATTGAGAAATGGGTAAATTAAGGCCATATCATGGAAGATGTAATAAGCCTAAAACAAGAGTATGCAATTGTCTTCTCTGTTAAATAATTTAGTTGGACTCACTATTACCTACAGAGTCATTATGAAGTGAAGTTGTGCAAAAGCTAATATGGCAGCACATCCTAGGGCAGATTGCAGAGAAAGAGAATGGATTCACGAAGACAAGATGGGGCTGGCTACTATTATATTCTAGATATTCTGTCTCTCTCTCTATATATAGATATATAGGTAGGTAGATAGATGGATAGATAGACATTTGAGATATTGAAAGAGAGAGAGAGAGAGAGGGAATATATATATATTCTAACCAAACCCTAGGCCAGCATTAATTTAATGGTCCTCTTGTAATCTCCAGGTGACCTGTGGCATGTCTAATATTATGCAATCAGCACCATTAAGACATATTTAACTCTTTAAACAGGTGTACTTCCTAGACATGGACAGTCACCGCCCTTACTAAGATTGGTTTTCCACAGTTTTCTAAGCTTGTCAAATCAAAATTAGTTTAAAGTCAGTAAGAAGAGCAGAGTACTCATAAACCAATATTAATATTTTATATGTTGATGTGAATTTGGATATTTAGTGGCTATGTGTACATATCCAATTAAAATTACACTACACTATATAAATCAATGTAGAAAAAAATTGAAGAAGTGCTAAATAAATAGAAACAAATTCCATGTCATGAATCACACACAATATTATTAAATGGCATTATTAGAGTAATACCACAAAGATGGCAGAATAGGAAGTTCCAGGAATCACTCCCTCCATAGAAACAACTATTGACTTGGTATGAACTGTCTGAAACAACAATTTTGGGACTCTGGAGTCTAGCTGAACACTTACAGAATCCAGGGGAGTGATTTATCAGAAAGAAGTTGATAAATTTCTGTGTCTGATATATCAACTACCATTCTCTACACACTAGCTCCCTGCAGGCATCCACAAGGACAGTGGTCCTCATACCTGTCGCAGATTGTTAGTCATAGGGTGGGCAATGGGGACCTTGTCCTACAAAAATCAGGGTTGTGTGTTGATTGCTTGCTTTTGATCATGAATGGCTAGCACAGAGGCTGGACATTGTATACATTCCCAGAGGTTGCATGAGCTTTTCCACTTGCATTGGCAAGGTGATTTAAATGGATAGAATGTTTTTTTTTTTTTTTCCAATTCTTATTGGATTTAAGGAAATCTCTGTCAGGTCACTGACTGACTGTGGAGATCAGAGAACAGAGACTTCAGTGACCTCAGAAGATTAGAAAAGTTGTTTGGAAATATCACTAAATAAATAGATTACTGAAGACCTCCTTAAGTAATAAAAGCAATATCTACAAGCAGAAAGAATCTCATTTCCAAAGTTACCACATGACAATATTTAAAATGCTCAGTCCCCAAAGTATTACAAAGCATTCAAAGAAATAGGAAAGTATGGCCCATTAACTGGAAAAAAAAATAAATTAACAGAAATCATCCCTTAGGAAGCCTGTACATCAGACTCAGTAGATAAAAACTTTAAAATTAAATTTCCTAAGTATGCTCAAAGAGCTGAAAGAAACCATGGAGAAGGAACTAAAAGACACTAGGATAACAGTAATAAACAAGTATAATATATCAATAAAGAGAGAGAAAATATTAAAAAATATAAATTCTGGAGCTAAAACATACAATAGCTGAAAAAATTTTAAAAATTCACTGGAACAGTTCAACAACAGATTGGAATAGGTAGAAGAAAGAAACAACAAACTGTACAGTAAAGACAGTAAAACTGGAATTACCTAGTTGCAGTAGCATAAAGAAAAAAGAATGAAAGAAATGAACAGGGACTAAGGGACACCGTGAGACATACCAACATACACATTATGGGAGTCACAGAAGCAGAAGAGATAGAGAGGGGCAGAAAAAAATATTTGAAGAAATAATGGCTGAACACTTCTCAAACTTGATGACCAGCATGAATCTACATGTTCAAGAATCTCAATGAAATCCCAGCAGAATAAACTTAAAGAGACCCACACAAGACAGATTTTAATTCAAAAAAACCCCCAAACAACAGGGGCTGGCCTGGTGGTTTGATGATTTGGAACCTGGGCGCAGACTTACACACTACTTATCAGACAATGCTGAGGTGGCATCCCATATATAAAAATGAAGGAAGATTGGCACAGATGTTAGTTCAGGGACAATCCTCCTTACTAAAAAAACAAAAACAAAAAACCAGAAGAAACCCAAAGAGACTATCTTGAAAACAGAAAGAGAAATTTACTCATCATGTACAAAGGATCATAAAAAAAAAATGCAAGAGCTGATTTTTTCATCAGAAACAGCGGAGGCCAGAAGACAGTGGGATAGCATATTTAAAGCAGCAACAGAAAACTGACTTATCAAGTCAAAGGATTATCAAAAAGAGGAATAAATTTCCACATTCTGTCCTGGCATGTAAGGAGCTTAGAAATTTCCACTCAATCCTAACAGAAATAAAAACTGAACAAACTAAAAAATGAATAACACTTCTTAGATCCATCAGATAAGTGAAGTCATAGGGAAAACCACTGCTTCCAAAATTGGAGAGACAGACAAGTAGATACAGAGAATCATGATTTAGCAGAGAGAAACCCATGAGGAGAAACTTCTGCAGGAAGCGGTACCAGGGTAGGAAAAGCTAAACCACAATAATGAATTGCTGGAGGCTTAGCGTGGGTTAGTCTGAGAGTAAAAAACTCCACGGGGACCCAAAGTCCCTTAGACTATTCTTATTTTTCTTAATTCTTTTTTCTCTTTGTTGTTCTGATTGGGTGATTTCCATTACCTTGTCTTTGAGGTTGCTGACCCATTCTTTTGTATCATTCTGCCTACTCTTGATTCCATCTAGTGTATTTTTCTTTTCAGTTATTGTAGTTTTCAGCTTCAATTGCTTCTTTCCTATATTTTTTCCCTCCTTGTTGAAGCTCTCACTGTGTTCACTCATTCTTCTCCCAAGTTCAGTGAGCATTCTTATGACCATTACTTTGAACTCTTTGTCAGGTAGATTGCTTATCTCCATTTTATTTAGTGCTTTTTCTGATATTTTGTCTTGCCTTTCATTTGGGACATATTCCTCAGACTCCTCATTTTGCCTAATTTTCTGTGTTTGTTTCAATATTTTACCTAAATCAGCTAACTCTCCTAGTCTTGAAGGAGTGTCCTTACATAGGAGACTTCTTGTGGGACCCAGAAGTGCAGCCTTCCCTGGCCACCTGAGCAAGGCACTCAAGGGATATCCCTTATGCGGGCTGTGTAAGCCATCCTGTTGCAACTTGGCTCCAACTATGACATGTTTGTGGGAGGGGCTTTCTCTCAGCCTGCTGCAGAGTGCAATCATGACAACTACGGCGCATTGGGAGTTGAGTCAGGCCCATGGCTCAGCTTCTGGTTGCATCCACATCTGCTGCAGCACATTGGTGGGTAGGGCCAGTCCCAGGCTTGCTGCTAGGTACATCTGTTACTGCTTTGACACAATTGTTGACGGGGCTATTCCATGGCAGTCTGCTACGTGCATCAGCAACTGTTGCAACACATTGGTGGGCAGGATTGGCCACTTTACTGTTTGAGAGGCATGTCCATGACTGCAGGAGTGATTTGGTCAGTGCGGTTTTCAGTGAGGTGCACCCACTGGGACTAGCAGATTAGAGAAAGAATTCCAAAATGGTACCCATCAATGCCAATATTATCAAGGTAGACTGAGATTGCAAAAATGGCTCCTGTTAGTGTCTCAGTCCCAGAAGGGTCTTGGTGGTTTTGTGCCTCTCTGGCTGATGATTTAAAGTCAGTAAATGAGTTTGTTTTATCTGTGTTCTATGCATTTTTCAAACTGGTGTATTTGTGCTGGTTTCCATGTTAAGTTAATCTACACCAAGCACTTTAAGAGCAGGTTTTGCATTCCATATAGTTTTATAATTTTCCTGGACATAATTCTCCTTGATTTTCAAAGCCCAGTGTTTGGGGGGCTTGTCTTTCCTGTGCAGGATCTAAAGGTTGTGGTGACTGATGCGGAGCTCAAATCCCTTTAATCCTCAGGGAAACGTTTCATACCTTTGAGATCTCCCCTGATTGTGGATTGTTGTGGCTGTGGTGTGGTTTTTCTTTGGTGAGCCCATGACTCTGCCTTTTTTTCTTGACTTGATGCTGTCCTTTTATCATTAGTTTTGGAGGTTTTGTTCATCCAATCTTCAGGTCTCCTTCAGAGGGAATTATTCCAAATGTAGTTGTAGATTTGGTGTCTGTGGAAGAAGGTGAGTTCAAGATCTTCCTATGCTACCATCTTGAACTTCTTCCCATATACATATTTTAAAATGGATTGTAGGTCTAAATGACAAAGCTAAAACTATAATACTGCTCAAAGAAAATATAAGCATAAATCTTTGTGAGCTTGTATTATGTAATTCTTCTTCACATCCTACAAAAAGCGCAAGCAACCAAAGAAAAAGCAGATAAAGTGGACTTCATCAGAATTTACAAAAACTCTGGTTCCAATGACAACATCATGAAATAAAAAGATAACCTATAGAATGGTATAAAATATTTGCAAAATATCTGATAACGGATTTCTATGTAGAATACATAAGAACCCTTACACTTCAATAATAAATAAAAACAAATAACCTGGGAAAAATGGGCAAATAATCTGAAGAGATGTGACTCTAAAGGATGTATGTAAATGGCTAATAAAACCATGAAAAGATACTCAACATCATTAACGATCAAAAAAATGCAAATCGAAACTACAATGAAAGGACATTTCACCCATTAGGATTGCTGTAATCAAAACTACATATGATAACAATTGTTGATGTGAATATAGAAAAATCAGTGCCCTCGTACACATAGTGGGAATATAA